AATAATTTTTTTAAAATCATCCCTGTTCTTAATATGGGGTGGGGCGAGAGGGGGGTGTTACCCTTTGCTCTTGTCAACCAAACAGGAGTTTTACACACACACACACACACACACACACACACACACACACACAACACAACACTACACACGCACACACAACATTTAAGAGATGCGCTTGCATTGACCGCATTTAAATCTGGTCTGACGTCACATTTATCTTAATTCCATTTTTCGAAACAGTTTAATTCTTCTTCAAACAACAGGTGAGATCAGCAGTCGGAGTAATTGTCTTTTTGTGTACGTGTTCTATGTCGAACTATGGATACGTAAAAGGAGACAACTTGGAATTGACATTTTCCTCTTTGATTAATTAAAACTAGATGGACTTATGCCCCTTGGCAACTGCAAGTTACATACACGTCAGATGTGTTTTAAGGTGTTTGTGCGTGTTTGTTTGTCTGACTCTCTGCGTGAATGAAAAGTGCAACGGCAGATTATGATTAATTTCAAAAATGGGAGAATGGGGGGTGGGGGTGGGGGGGGGGGGGAAACTCTTTTCATACCACGCATCTACAGATGGAGTTGTTTTTTTAGGGGGGGGGGGTCTGTTTTTTGCTTTTGTTTATGGGTAAGTGATTTACAGTGCTCACAACTGCGTAAGCTCATATGAGCGCGCGGGACACATTAACCATTTTCAATTTGGTAGGAAATTTAGAAAATTCCCATGGTGGTAGCCTAAGCCAACTCTTATCGATTTTGGACGACCAAGGGATCTTTAACGTGCGCAACTTGCACACGGGACCTCCAAGATTTTTAGCTCTTATCCGAGAAGGCTAGATGGTAGATCTTTCCTACCATAAGACCAGGGACGTGACTGAAAGACAGCTGTAAGAAGGAGCCACGGAGTGGCAGCAGAAAAGCTGCAGAAAGAGTCAGGAGCCCATATGAGGGAGCAAAGGAGGTGAGGGAGTGGGACAGAAAGTTGAGACGAAAGCAGACGATAGAACATTGTTTGAGTGCAGGAAAGGAAGTGAATGAAGGCAATATTAGGTAAGAAAATTTACCGTCGCCATCCGGAGTCGAACCCGGGACCTATTGAATGAGAGACAAACACCTTAACCTCTCCACCAGGAGAGGCCCCCTGGTCAGTTTACCAACCATATGATCACAAATCCGGTAGCCTAACCACTGTCACTGAAAACTGCGAATCCCACACCCAAACCACAGGATACAAACAACCTCATGTTTACCTGAGATTACCGAAACAACTCAGAGGTTGCAATTTTCTATTTACAGAGATAGAATCAAAGAAACATGCTTAACATAACTCCACGAGACGGATACCCTTCTGCAGTCTACATTGCACAACGTTCCCGTTTGATGATAATGGTTGGACCAAACCTCCTTTTAGGACCGCCAGGCTTGGACTCGTAACCGTAGAGTTTCGCCGAATTCGCAGTAGACCGATGACTCATGACTCATCAGTGACCAGGGATGTTGGGTGCATTGCCGGGAGGCAGCTTCCGGGATGAGCTTCATGTATAAAATCTTTCGCGAATCTCTGTATCCCCCATCTATAACTTTCAAGTTCTCGAACCAGCTTATTATTTGCTAAGAAAACTTACTCAAGTGACACAACTGAAGGTGGAGCTGTTGTTCTGAAAGGTAGCTATCTTGTTTTTGCTTTTGTTGCTGCTGATGTTGTGTTTGTAGTTGTGTCGTAGTTGTAGTTGTTGTTTTAGTAGTATGCCTAGTGGTATTAGTAGTAGTAGTAGTAGTAGTAGTAGTAGTAGTAGTAGTAGTAGTAGTAGTAGTAGTAGTAGTAGTAGTAGTAATTGTTGTTGTTGCTGTTCTTCTTCTTCTTCTTCTTCTTCTTCTTCTTCTTCTTCTTCTTCTTCTTCTTCTTCTTCTTCTTCTTTTTCTTCTTCTTCTTCTTCTTCTTCTTCTTCTTCTTCTTCTTCTTCTTCTTCTTCTTCTTCTTCTTCTTCTTCTTCTTCTTCTTCTTCTTCTTCTTCTTCTTCTTCTTCTTCTTCTTCTACTACTGCTGCTGCTTCTCCCCCCACTCCTACTGTTCCTCCTCCTCCTCCTCCTCCTCCTCCTCCTTAGGCGCTTGATTTTTTAAAATATTAAAGGCAAAAATTACCAT